AATTCGAGGATCGTCCACTATCAAAAAGTATATTTTTCATTTCGAGGGATATCGTCTTTCATTTCACAATTCCAACTACTTTGCATATTCGTTGCTCGTGAACTTTTTCCGAATACTTAACCAACAGAACTTACGAGATCCCTCGAGTGACGTTACCAGCCAGAGTTTAACTACTGCGGCTGAATATAACCGTCTGTTTCTACTTGCGTTTATCCGTCCGCGTTGATCGTCAAATATTCATTTGAATTTTCAATTATATCTTTTTATCAACCAAAAAATTAGGAATCAAACTTTTCAAACTTCATTAACTTTTCCATTTCAATTGAAATTAACGTCGCAAATGTTAAATTTAAATATAGGAACTTTTTTATATATATTGTTGAATTCTATGGAACACGTGTTTCGATTCACTGTCATCAAATTATACATCTGACTCCTTTTTCTGTTTTTACACAAATTTTTAACACGTTCCATTTAATTTTGCACAGATTTCCTTTTAACGTGTTTTCACACATAGATTTTTTTTTATTTATCAAACGTTGCATTTATCGAGCGTTATATAAAAAATACCATAAAAAATATTATTAAAAAAATATCAAACTGTATTTCTTAAGTTTCAGATACTTTTTTATTTTTAATAAAATTAGTAGTATCGAAAATTGATATTCAATTTTCAAGTAAACGCAAGAAAAAAATATTCTACGAACGAAATGTAATAATTATTTCTAATAATTAGAAGAAAAAAAAGAAATCTCGACAAATTCAGAGCGCCAATTTTTTTTGGAATTCAAACGTATGTGAATTATGAAATAATTTAAAGAGAAAATAACCGAAAGGGATTACAACAAGATAACGAGAGATAACAATAGAAAATTGTGACTGTAGTAAGATTAAAATAAATTCTTCTTATCAGCTGAGATAAGGAATAGCGTTTCATTGTTCCAGTAGTAGAGCGTAAAGTATACGCCTAGTTCTGTCTCGTTCCGTTGCGAGATAGGAAAAGTGGAAATGGCAAAGGCAAAACGTTTTGCAGGTATTATGAGTTAAATGCCGTTGTCTTTCTTCCTAAGGGAGGAAAAGCTTTCTCGCAGTAGAGGGGAGAGGGGAGAGATCTTGAAAAGCTTGCAATCAGTTGCCAAAGGTATCTCTGAATACCTCCATTCCCATGAATCCTTCTGATATTTGACTACGCTTAACGAGATTGTTAAGATCTTACGGATGGGGAAATATTTTTCATCTACGTGCTTATTGTTGCGGTAATGGAACAATAACTATGACAAATTTAATTTTTTCAATGTGGAATTTCTTTACAAATATTTTTCAATAGAAATTCAAATAACAAACGCTTCTTAAAACCGATGTATCGATGTTAAGAGATTGTAATTGTTATTAATAAAGTTCAAATATTCATCAAATTTTGCGATATATACAAGAGAGATAATAAAAAAAGCACAGTGTACGAAATTCCTTTATTCAGAAAGAAAGAAATCCTCGTTCTTTTGGCAAAAAGTTAAACAGGTTAGATTATAATTAACGCAATTCCAGAACTTTCTGCACCATTTATAACCACTGTTTATAAAAAGAAAGAAAAAGTATTCGAGGAAAGATCTCTCTCTCGTGAAGAGTTTTTTGTTGTTTTTAACCAAGAAATCATATTTACAGAGCGAATATCGATCATATCGAATTAATTGGCCAACAAAGGGGATTAGTATATTGGAGTAAGGGTCGAAATCGTAATACAGGAATATCCGACTGGTATCACGAGTCCATCTAGGCATTAATATTCAAAGGCTCAAGCACGTAGATCTACGTGTCCGGCAATGCTGTTAAGGGATGGTGTACGTGTCGAGTCGTCGCAACCACGAAACTTAACAGAGGATGAAAAGATTTATAATTTCCATGCATAAGAAACGATACGTGTCACTTGGTCGAAGGATTAAAAAGCTGATACTTTTAACGCACGCTGCTCGAAGGTTAAAATTACATTTTGATTGATAAAAATTCGTCACACCAAAATCCTTGCAAAAATTTTAATAAATACACGTTCCAGGCAATCATCGATTCATTCCTGTTCAACAATCGTGGCACGAGAATTTCCTTTCAATTTCATCCCCCATCGACACGAAACAAAGATCAATCACTCCCAACCGCAAACACTTCTTATCCATCCCGTTCTTTATCCACCCGACCTCGAGAATTCCTCTCC